TATCGCTTTACATGGAAACTGCCTCTGAGCGAGGCGGGCAATAAGTCATGTCACCCCAGAGATTCCGGGCRTGCAACGTGAAGCCCACAACAACCTACGTATATATAAAGGCATCCTAGTGATCAAAGAAGGTACATGTAATTTAGTTCTCAAGCACCTAGTTCTCTCATTTTCTAGCTCTCCAAATACATCTTGCTAACTTAAATATCTGAGTGCCCACCTCAGATAAAGCAACCTGAACACTTTGACTTCTCTCTTTACGGCTCGTCCAGATGACCTCACCAATCCAACATCTGAGCTATTTGCCAACAGGGAGTACCTATGCACCATCAAATCTCATATCCACTTTTACCAAATAAAAAAAAAAAAATCTTAAACCCACATTCTCATATTTCTCGCTTGAGATTTTACCATTAGACCAAGCAATGGAACCAAATCAATGCACCAAGTCTTCAAGGCCCACAGAAGAGATGGCACCCAGTATAACAAAGAAGGTCTTAATTGTTTTTTTTTTGAAAATGGGTCGTAAAATATAATAGAAGGGAAAATGCCATGTAATGATTGAAGAGAAAGACTTTTATTTGGTTTGAGGCTTTGAAAGCGAAGTACCAATTAAATACTTTCAAGTGTTGAACAGTTTAACAAGCGACTATTATTTTGAGAATTATAACAAATTCATTAATAATTAATGTATTTGATTTTATTTTGTAAATTTATAGCTGTTATAATCAGAATACATAAGAAGCTAGTCTTTAGTATTATTTGACTTTTTGAGTCAGATTTTAATTATTGAAAGCTTCAATATAAGTCCATATCAAATTAATACATTTATTTAATGTGGATGGATTTTCTTTTTTTTTTCCCTTAAATTAGGGGAGGCGCGTTCCAAGCACGAAAATCATGTCAACGTTGAGAAATACAGAGAACAGAGTGGTGGACTAGGTCATATTTGGGTTGTTTTTTAAAGAAATGAAGTAGAACAGACTCAATGCAGATCTTTTATTTTTACTATAGAGTTATAAACATTCAAAATGTTAATAATCCACATTTAAATTGTAATCAATTCCGAGCTGATATCTACCCTAATAATACTTTAGGCCTATAAATTCTGACCCTAGGCTGAACCTTCATTCTCTCTTTTTATTGGGATAAATAGGGCCCAGATCCCAAGCTTATGGGTCAGTCTAATTTGGTCGGAGATAAAACAGGGCTGGACTAGTTACCAGTTATCACAAATAGATGCACATACTGAATACTGATATACAGTGTGAGTCTTACATCCCATGTGTACAAGACAGCCCGGTATACATGATATTGTCTTCACCTCATCCAGTCAGCCCAGTTATGGGCATGGGCATGGGCATGGGTTTGTTATTCAAGTAATCATATTATATCAAGATGTGGCTAATACAGCTTTTTTAAGGCATATTATGCAAACACTAATTTTAATAGTTAWATAACATTAAAACCACCACCTTCTAAAATTTTGAAAAAATTTATAATGCGTATACTTTGGACCTTTGACAAATGAATCTAGAATTTAGAGATCGAGGAAAAGATATGAACAAGCATGTGACATTGAGATCCTCATATGACAAAGCGATTGAGCCTAGCATAGTCAATGGACTCCAAAAGTCCAAACTAGGCTTGACTTCGAATCCTGTTAAAGCTTGAGTTTCTTTATTTTTTATATATATATATATATATACACACACATTTAATGTATAAAATTTATATAATTGTATGTAAAATATAAAATACACAATCTTCTATTATAATAGAACTTTTTTGTTTCTTATTTTATTTTAAATTAAGATAAAACAGATTATTTGTACTAAAATTCGACATTTAAATGCTTCTGAAACTGTAATAACTAGTTTTAGAGGTACATTTGGTGTTGATTTTTAAAGGGAAAATTCTYGATCARTATCTTGTATTTTGGTTCGAGTAACAATTTGGTCTCCGAACTTTAAAATGCAACAATCCAGTACTTGCAATTAACCAGTTCGTTAATCAGCTGTTAAGTGGCATTTGAAAAGTAAAAAATGCCCTAAGAATGCCATCTAATTCTCTTTATCAACYATCTAAACGTTGACCAAAAACTGAACAGTCCCAAATCCTAGCCTCTTTTATTCAAAAACTTGGTGACTGCTTGGAAGAATCTAGAATTTGACATTCTTAAGAATTTTTGACTTTTCAAATGTCACTTAACAGCTGATTAACGGACTGGTTAATGGCAGGTACTATATTGTCACATTTTGAAAATTCGGATACTGGATTATCATATTTTAAAAATTTGGGTATTAAATTGTCGCATTTTAAAGTTTAGGGACCAAATTATAATTTGAGACAAAATACAGAGTACTGATCAGCCCATTTTTAAACGTAAAAAATATTGTTCTTAAATTTGAATGCTATGAATATTAAAAAAGTTGTTGAACTATTAATAATTAATCAGAATGGGCGGTAGCATGGTTTGGACTTTGGACCGGTTTATCAGACCCAGAAGGGACCAGAGATCTTTGTATTGACCGGTTTTTCATAAATAACCATGCTACAAGATCTTATTATTTAATTTTGTATTGACATGGAATAGGTATAGAGAGATATAAGCCCTTTTTTGTTTGTTTCTTTTATTTATTTTGTCGGTTGAGAATTCTGCCAACTGGTCAGACCATTCAACCCGTGACTCTAGTCTCACATATTGTCCGTCCGGTTTAAAAGTCTTATTTAAACGAGACTGCCCTGGACATAGTCACATTGACATGGAAACATGGCTGGCAAATCATAGTTTTATTTATTACTAGACCTGTTTATAGGGTGGGTAGTCCGATGGTCTGATCTGGTCTAGCGTGGTCCGTTCTTTATTGGGCTTGGAGAGAAAAAAAATGTGCAAGACCGAACCCAGCTTGTCCATGGGCCTAGATCTTGAGGCCAAACTCTGTTTGAGGGCTTATTTGATAAATCCCAAGCCCGCCACAAAAATCATTGTCCAGGTTCAACGGTTTAACAGTTCAACCGTTCAACTCAACGGTTTGCTGATTAGTAAAATCAGGGCTAGGTGCTGAATGACTGAACGTAACTGAATAGGTGGCTGATTAATAGGTTGAATGATTCAACTGCCTGGATCAATGACAATTTTAAAACCATGATCTGACTAGCTCTCCTAGAGGTGTAAATCAGGTCATGCCGGGTTGCCACGACATGCACTGCATAAAGAACGGGTTGTGTCGTGTCGGTACGTAGGCCAAGACGGACCATGCCTCCCTCCCTTGGGAAAATTTGGGGGATTGACCCAACACGACCCATGGCCTGAGCCCATGTGGGCCCGTGCCGTGCTATGGGTCTGGGTGGGGCAAGTTGTAAGCTGTGTTGTGGGCTTGGGCCAGGCCGAACTGAGCCAGAAAGAACAAGACCTTTTTTGACATTTTGACTTTTTAGTTTTTTGTTAAATAAAACTAAAATACTTAATAAAATACAAAATGGATGACAACTTGAAAAAATATGAATTTTATTTCATTTAAAATATAAAAATTACAAATTGAAAATAAAAAATTATATTGTTGAAAAAATAACAAATAATTTAAATAAAACTGAAAAACTACTTCATTTCCTTGACTTCARTCATCTTCATTAGGTGTAGTAGTGTCATGCCCTCCTTTCTTACAATTTATCCTCAACGTCCAACAAATCTTTAAAGTAGTTTTTTTTTCTTATTTCTTATGGAAGAGGAAATGCCTACCCAAGGGGCCAGGACCACCCTTGCTACTAAAACTAAAGTCAATCCTACATTTTTTGGCAAATGACTATTTTTCCCTTTCCCTTAACCTCCTCTATTGTAAGTACTTTCCAAATCAAGCTATTGAATTTACTGTTGGTGAATTTGTTTCCAGAAGAGGAGTTGGTCATTTTTTTTTAATTCTAAAAAAATAAATTAATTGCACTTACCCAAATGGGCAGATTACCGGTTCAGAATTTCAAATTGATTTAAATGGTT